CCCCCCCCCCCCCCGATTCAGTCCGTAGGAGGCCTAGTAATGACTAAATGGTGGAGTCTCCTTCAACTCATGGTACCCCTGGTGGTTTGGCTCTGTGAAGAGACAGAGAGGGTAGTTAGGGCTATGAAGTACCACAAATCTATCTCTTCTACATTAGCCAGTGCTTTTAAAACTCTTTTAGACATATTGGCGCTTCAGTTTGGTTTCTAAAAGAAAGGACAAAATCAGAAAAAATGATTTAACAATGTTATTTAAATGTACTGCCTACAGTTGCAAATGTTTCTCAAACTGCTTCCTCAGGTCCACTGTGACCTTATTCTGTATTCATTGTCTTTTCACTGAGAACTGCTTATGCTATGTTATACTTGAAGCACTTGCTATTTACTTTGAGAGCTTGTATCTGTAGTCTGGAGGTCACTTAATAATTTTCTGCACATCCCAAATGATGTAGACAAAAATAGCTACTAGCAGAATGCGTTTTAGTGTGTAGATAAGAGTTACGGTACCAAGACTCATATTCTCCTCCACAAGAGGCCTCTTCTCACTGCAGTTTACTACTCTTCCCTGTGCCGCTCCCAGAATAGTCATGATATCCACCAGGCTGAGCTTTCCTTCCTCCTTGGCCTCCTCCACCTCCTCTGACAACTCCATGGCAGCCTCTTCCCGCTCTTCAATCTCCTCTTGGGTCAGCATTGTACTTAAGCCCTGCCCTGCGGTGGTGTTGCCCACCTGTGGTGGCGCCAGTGAGCACAACGCCCTCACCTGCCCATAAGACTTCAGGTGCGCTACGTTGGCACGCAGGAAGAGCAGGAGGACGTTGAGGTCATTCAGCGGGCAGCTTAGCTTATGGTGGTTGATAACATCCAGTGCCGGGAGGACCTCGTAGACAGAGATGAAGGTGGTGTCCCAAACAAAGAGCCGGATCAGGCTGAAGAGGACTATAGGAGCCAGCAGGATGTAGATGGCACCGTTGGCCACGCTTATCACCTGAAAAACCAACTGGCCAATCATTTTACACTGTACCAGTTCAGGAACCCAGTTCTGATCGCGCAGCATGCCCGTGCGGACAAAGCAGCTGAACTCGTCCTGCAGGAAGGCAGAGAGGTGGAAGTAGGCCAGGTAGAGGCAGGCAGCAGTCATGAAGGTCAGGAGGAGGAACCCCCGCAAGAAAAGCATGCTAACAAGGAAGTAGGAGTTTTGTTTGCACTTCATGTATCTCTCCAGCAGAGGGTACTCAAAGTATCGCTTCTTCTTGGCCCTGCAATCGGACAAGGAGAAGAAACTCAGAACCATGTTCTGCTTCATGTTCATACAGCTACAAACAGTCTCAGCTGGGAGCGTCCCAACCCAACCACAGTCTTCTACTTTTGGCTTCGAGGAGCTGCCCACCACAACACCCAGCCCTCCACTGAGACTGCTGGAGTGTTGCTTAAGGGTATATTCACTGTTAGTTGCTGAGGGAGAGAAAAACATTACTCTTTACTTTCCTAAACCACATTTTCCCAGTTTATCAAGAGACAGCATAAGATCACTCCTGTAACCTCTAAACAATATTTCTCACTCTCTTTAGTTGCTGCTCCAAATGACCCAATTAAATTTAACAGGGTGTATTCTAGTTTGGGGGCAAATCAACACTCAACAGACTGGGTGACTCAAAAATAAACATGGATACAGAAACATTTTTACAAAAAGAGCAATGAATATTCCTGCTACAAGCCAACAGCCGCTGGTCTCTTACCTTTGCAGTTCGGCCTGAAATGTGAGAGGGTTCTTAGTGTTCTGGCGCATATCCAGAATGCTCTGGGCCAGTCGGATCGAGCGGTTGTACGACTTGTCCAGTTCGTCGATTATGAAGAGCAGGTCTGAGCCCAGCGAGGGCATGACGAGCTGGCGCCAGATCAGAGCCGGCAGGTACATCAACACTGCCATGGCCAGGAGAGAGTAAGGGAACATCTGGACAGACAATGAGAAAGGGTGAGAAAGAAAACACAAAGTGGTAGGAAAGAGTTTAAAGCAGATGATCCATAAACAATGGCTTCACAACCTGATATTACAAATTAACAACCTAGTTTAGACCTACTTTTTATTGACTGGACATTAAATGTCAACTGCATTAGGTCTAAATACTTTGCAAATTGTTGCAACAAACAGGTTCAGCAGGTTTCAGCAGTTATCAGCCACTAACCCTACATATAAAATGTAATTTCTGCTGCTAGGGTGTCTTTTACATTAAACAATAACTAAATGCCGTTTGTTGACGGCGTAAAGTAGCGTGGGATCATGGGAGTTGTTGTCTTCACCACCATTACCATCA